AGTGTCTAAATGAGACGACTAAACGTCATCAGGCCCAACATTAGCCACCTTTAGCTTAGCGGTGGTGACGTGAAGTCATGTGACCGTGCTGTAGTTCCTTTATAGCCCAACATTAGCCGCCTTTAGCTTAGCGGTGGTGACGTGAAGTCATGTGACCGTGATGTAGTTCCTTTATAGCCCAACATTAGCCACCTTTAGCTTAGCGGTGGTGATGTGAAGTCATGTGACCGTGCTGTAGTTCCTTTATATAGCCCCAACATTAGTCCGCCTTTAGCTTAGCGGTGGTGACGTGAAAGTCATGTGACCGTGCTGTAGGTTCCTTATAGCCCAACATTAGCCGTCTTAGCTTAGCGTGTGCACGTGAAGTCAGGTGACCGTGCTGTAGTTCCTTTATAGCCCAACATTAGCCGCCTTTAGCTTGGCGGATGGTCGACGTGAAAAGGTTCATTGACCGTGGCCTGTAGTTCCTTTATAGCCCAACATTAGCCACTAGGCCCTTAGCTTAGCGGGGTGACGTGAAGTCCATGTGACGCGTGCTGTAGTTCCTTATAGCCCAACATTCGCCGCCTTTAGCTGAGCGGTGGGTGACTGAAAAGTAATGTGACCGTGCTGTAGTTCCTTTATAGCCCAACATTAGCCGCCTTATAGCTTAGCGGTGGTGGACGTGAAGTCAGGTGAACACGCGTGCTGTAGTTCCTATATAAGCCCAACATTAGCCAAGCCTTAATGCTTAGCGGTGGTGACGTGAAGTCATGTGGACCGTGATGTGAGTTCCTTATATAGCCCAACATGAGCCAACTTTAGCTTAGCGGTGGTGATCGTGAAGTCATGTGACCGTGATGTAGTTGCCTTTATAGCCCAAACATTAGCGCACTTTAGCTGAGCGGTGGGTGATGTGAAGTCATGTGACCGTGCTGTAGTTCCTTATAGCCAACATTAGCCGTCCTTTAGCTGAGGGCGGATGGTGACGTGAAGTCATGTGACCGTGCTGTAGTTCCTTTATAGCCCAACATTAGCCGCCTTTAGCTTAGCGAGGGTCACGTGAAGTTATGTGACCGTGCTGTGGTAGTTCCTGTATGATGCCTAACATTAGGCCGTCCTTTAGCTTAGCGGTGGGTGACGTTGAAGTCATGGTGACCGTGCTGTAGTTTCCTTTATATAGACCCAACATAGCCGCCTTTAGCTTAGTGGCGAGTGGTCACGTGATGTCATGTGACCGTGCTGTTAGTTTCCTTTATAGCCCAACATTAGCCGCATTTAGGCTTAGCGGTGGTGAACGAATTGAAAGTCATGTGACCGTGCTGTAAGTTCCTTCTATAGCCCAACATTAAGCCACCATTTAAAAAGTAAAAAACCTCAAAAAAAAACGAGATTTTCCTAACTTCAAACATAAAGACAGATAAACAGGCCTCAATCAACAGACAAACTGGAATGTGGCCAAGTACTTGAACTTGTTTTTCAACATAACATAGCAACCAACTCTTGCAAAGAAAAATTACCCTCGACCACTCAGGGCTTATTTGGAGTAGAGTCACATCATGACCTACTACAAAAACCTAGGGGTACGCAAAGATGATTTCAGTCTAGCAAGGGTAACAACAGCAGAGGTACTCATTAAACTGAGCGCCCTCCAACCTAACAAGGCCACTGGCCACGACAATATCCCCTCCAAATTCCTCAGAGACACAGCAACCGCCATCTCACCAGTCATAGCTCACATAATTAACCTCTCCATAAAACAGGGAAAAGTACCCAAAGACTTCAAAATTGCAAGAGTAACCCCCCCTGCACAAAAAGGGCAGCAAATTGGACCCAGGCAACTACCGCCCTGTTTCTATACTTACCTCCATCTCGAAAGTCATGGAAAAAATAGTATATGAACAGGTCGAAAAGTACCTCGCGGAAAAGAAACTAATCTATGAATTTCAATCTGGCTTTAGAATATCCCACTCCACTGACACATGCCTTCTTTATTTGAGCGACCACATCAAACAAGAGGTGGACGAGGGCAAGTACTGCGGCATGGTGATGCTGGACCTACAAAAGGCTTTCGACACTGTCAATCACCCCATTCTGATTGACAAGCTAAAAGCAATTGGTTTTGATAGACTATCGGTGAGCTGGATGCAATCCTACCTGGAGGGGAGAGAACAGATGGTGGAGGTAAACGGTACTCTGTCCCCCCCCCCCTCCCAGTGAGCTGTGGTGTTCCACAAGGAAGCATATTAGGTCCGTTACTGTTCCTAATTTATGTAAATGACATGTCATCAGCATGTGACTGCAACTTGTTCCTGTTCGCGGACGACTCAGCCCTGCTGGTCTCTGACAGGAACAGATTGCAGGTTGAAAAAAACCCTCAGCTCCGAGCTCGGCAGAATCTGCACCTGGCTCGCTGATAATACATTATCATTACACCTGGGTAAAACAGAGTCCATTCTCTTCGGTTCGAAACATAATCTCAGCAAATCCGACGACTTCTCAGTTGCAGTGGGCGACATTATTGTCACAAGTAAGAAGGAAATTACATACCTAGGATCTATTCTTGAGGCAAACCTCTCCTGTGACAAAATGGCATCCAATGTAATAAAAAAAGTCAATCAAAGAACTAGATTCCTATACCGGATCTCCTCTCTGGTAAACAAGAACACCCTGAAGACTCTGGCAGGAGCACTCATTCAAGGGTACTATGACTATGCTTGCACGTCATGGTACCATAGCACCTCCAAGGCGCTAAAAATAAAACTTCAAACATCGCAAAATAAACTGGTCAGACTACTGCTTGACCTTTCATCTAGAACCCACCTCACCTCTGCCCACTTTGACAACCTAGGATGGCTTAGAGTAGACGACAGAGTACAGCTACTTGCAATGGGCCTGGTCTACAAGATCCACTACACCTCTATGGTACCCATGTACATGTCAAAATGCTTCCCAAAGGTCAAGGAATACCATGATCATAACACCAGAGGGAGCTCCACAAATCATGTGAAACCCAGATTTGGCACAAAAAAAGGGGAATACACGTTTCGCAATTCAATCAATCAATCAATCAATCAATCAATGTTTATTTATATAGCCCAATATCACAAATGTTACATTTGTCTCAGTGGACTTTACAGTTTGTACAAAATATCAGTATGACAATACGACACCCTCTGTCCTTAGACCCTCACATCGTACAAGGAAAAACTTCCGGAGAAAACCCACAGTTTAAAGGGAACATGGGAGAAACCTCAGGGAGAGCAACAGAGGAGGGATCCCTCTCCCAGGACGGACAGACGTGCAATAGATGCCGTGTGTAAATTGAAAAGATAATACATTTGCAACATAGGTAGTCCAAATGTTTGGAAATGCATGTGTGTATAATAGGAAGATGAATCCACGAGGATATCCATCCAGGACCTATGATCCAGGACCACAGCCACGACTCAAGATCCAATTATGCCACATCAAGGTGGAACGCTCTTCCCACAACTGTAAAGGAAAGTAAAACTATACTTACCTTCAAAACCTCTCTTAAAGAGCACCTTCGGGGGAGAGCATTGCAAAACTGGCCCCGGTAATGGTACAAATCTCAACCTGTCGTTCAATGGACAGCTTCCCCCCCCCCCCCCCCCATCTATGTATATACTCGCATTTTAGACTCTGTTACTAACTGTATATCTGTAGACTTGGTATGTCTTAAATGTCCGGTTAGGATGTATTAGAACGAAATCTAAAATGAAAATTGTAAATAAGCAATCTGTATGTAAAAAACCACCTGTATGTAAATTGTAAATAAGCCATCTGTATGTCAAATATGTCTTATATGACATGATGAATTGGAAATGGGGGACCCTGATGTAAACAAGACGAAAGTCTTTCTCTGGTCTGCATCCCCTTAACAATTGTATGTTTTGAGCTGTACTGTACTGTACCCAATATACAAGCTGCAATATATAAACTTTTCAATCAATCAAACCTTTAGCTTAGCGGTGGTGACGTGAAGTCATGTGACCGTGCTGTAGTTCCTTTATAGCCCAACATTAGCCTCCTTTAGCTTAGCGATGGTGACGTGAAGTCATGTGACCGTGCTGTAGTTCCTTTATAGCCCAACATTAGCCTCCTTTAGCTTAGCGATGGTGACGTGAAGTCATGTGACCGTGCTGTAGTTCCTTTATAGCCCAACATTAGCCGCCTTTAGCTTAGCGATGGTGACGTGAAGTCATGTGACCGTGCAGTAGTTCCTTTACAGCCCAACATTAGCCGCCTTTAGCTTAGCGATGGTGACGTGAAGTCATGTGACCGTGCTGTAGTTCCTTTACAGCCCAACATTAGCCACCTTTAGCTTAGCGGTGGTGACGTGAAGTCATGTGACCGTGCTGTAGTTCCTTTATAGCCCAACATTAGCCGCCTTTAGCTTAGCGGTGGTGACGTGAAGTCATGTGACCGTGCTGTAGTTCCTTTATAGCCCAACATTAGCCACCTTAGCTTAGCGGTGGTGACGTGAAGTCATGTGACCGTGCTGTAGTTCCTTTATAGCCCAACATTAGCCACCTTTAGCTTAGCGGTGGTGACGTGAAATCATGTGACCGTGCTGTAGTTCCTTTATAGCCCAACATTAGCCACCTTTAGCTTAGCGGTGGTGACGTGAAGTCATGTGACCGTGCTGTAGTTCCTTTATAGCCCAACGTTAGCCGCCTTTAGCTTAGCGGTGGTGACGTGAAGTCATGTGACCGTGCTGTAGTATCCTAACGTTAGCTTTTTACTTCAAAAATCATAAAAAGTGGTTTTAATATGTGGAGATTATCCTGTTGAAAAAAATGTATAAGTATCATAAATGTGAGACATTTTTCTGCATAATCCAATGAATAAATCCCACTGGCTTTTTGTGGAGGGTACCAGAAAGATGTTGCCTTCAGGGTCATCCTAAAAAAAGACATCATTGGGTGCTTCACTGAAGATTTGCCATGATCTAAACTGTGCATGCAGTCGAAAGTGATTGATAACACAACAAAGGATTTTTTTTAGAATATAGTTTTATTTATAATTTATACTTGGCAGATACAAAAAACTCTTGAACTGTATCCAAAGTGTGCAATAAATCACTGTTGATTTTTTTCCAAAAGAAAAATAGAAAAAGAGCATCTACTTTGGAAAGTTGACGTAAACTGGAGTGAACTGGTAACTCTACAGAGGGTTTGCTAATAGCTACTAATGCTCCTTTAACCGACTACAGTTGTTAACAAATTGCAAATCTGTGTTGCTCTCCCAAGACGATAACAAAAGTCATTATGTGTACACACGTCTACGTTGGTGACATTCTATTTCCCCGTTGTTAAATACAAGAAAGGCAATCATATCCTTATAAAGCAGCACAAATGTGTATAACACATTAAAATGAAATTGTACCAAGATGTTCGTGTGAGAGTACATAAGAAAGAAAAGGATGGGAATATTGAACTCATGTTGTAAACAATCACCTTCACTCACGGAGATGCAGAAAATAAAACGTTGTTGCTTGTTAAGTGCTGTTATTAATCCAAAATGCTTCAGCAGTCGGAACAAGCATCAACCTCTGGAATCAAACATTGAAGGCAATAATGCTGAGTAATAGTAAGTATTTTAGAAAAAGTCCCAGCAGCAACACCACACTGGTTCCTGCGTGTCGAAATCTGACGACAAATTAAAACTCAATTATTAAAAGAACATTGTATTAAAAAAAACTAACATTTTACTTTCACATTTCAACTGAAACAAATACACACTAAATAAAAGTCAAATTTACATCCACGTTGTTTCCATGATCCCGTTCCTTTGAGTGAGTTAGCAGGGGCTTCGATATGACGCTGGCTACCCTTTATATCCCAAGATATGACACAAACAATCTGCTGTTGATCTAAACACGTATGAACACAGAAGGACAAATGTGTGACTTTATTTCTTTCAGAAGAAATGCCATCTGAAGGACAACTCGAGGCAGGAGAGCATCCAAAGCTTGTCAGTGGAGAATTTTCAAGTGCAAAAAATGTAGGTTTTTTGTGTGTGTGATTCTTATGCTTTCTGAAAAACTGTTTTTCTGCAGGCGGATAACATGATCACCTCAAACAAGCGTACATTCCTTTAGTACAGCCCAATCCCCCAGATGGCAAATGTCACAAAACAAACTCACAGACGGATCCTAAAAAGAAAAGAATACATTTGTTTTACACAGAATGTCCAGCCAATGTTTGCGACAGAAAACCCTCCCTCGACACAGCCAAACACTCGACCTAGATCCTTCATTCCTATACAACTCCTCAAAGCTTCAAAAAGTCTTTAAACATGCAACACCGTTCAAAGTTCCTATCTAATTCTGCTGTGCTAGATTTACTTCCTCAGACACGGACGTTTCTAAAACTAGAACTATGCGCTAACGACCTACCAAAAGTTGTCATTCATTGTGTGAAGTCCCTGTCAAAGTATCCATATAAAGCACTTGCGTAGCATTCTGTGTGCTGATCCCTTTAGTACAGACAATCTGTGGGGACAGTGTGAATAAGCTATGGTTACAAATCTAATGATTTTGAGGCCTATATGATGCCATGCAGCTGTGATGGAGCTTTATTGAAACCCTGGCATCGCTCCGAGATGGCGAGGAGGACTTGACCCTGACTTTCCAAAATCACGTTATCTCACAATATGTCCAGGAAGCCTCGAGCTCGGTTTAAGAGAGAACAGCCATCACTACATCCTGCTTTCAGTCAATTGAGGGCACTTTCCTTTACTTATAACCTGCCTTAAGTGAGTTGCACTTCAACATCACTCAAGCTCTTTCCATCGTGACGTTTCCTTCCATTTGGAGAATCTCCACAAAGCCTTTTCTACATGCAGACACGAGCATCACAGAAACAGTTGTTAGGCCTGAGCTGCGGTTTTAACATTCCTAATGCACACAGATTTAACTTTGAAATGTTAACATATTTAGAAAAAGGTTTACACATCTAGGTGATGCCGTTCCTACAAACAGCACATTACAAATCCAGCATGGTCAGTACCTTCAGGTTTGCACATTACATAGTGGCTTCATGCAGCCACACTAATGAAAGCTTCTCCTGTCACCAAACTGCTGTAACCGCCTCAGACCGGCACATGTTGGACATCTCTTGCAGGAAAACGGTGTGGACATGGCTCTGATTTATACGATTTGATGCATTTTCAATTGTTAATGTGACGTGTTGTTGTACTTTTGTTTAACCAATAAGCATCCATGTCTATAAATGTCCATGATTGTACAACTTAAGGTAGGAAACAACTCAAAAATCAGATGATACCTGAGTAGTTACTTTAGTGAATTAGCAAAAATCTGGTGAACATGAAGTGTACCCTATGTAGCCGTTTGACTGATTGCATAGTATGGATGCAGAGTCGTGTTATGCAGGAAAATATGAGAATTCAAAAGCAAGAGATGATCAAAATGTGTCCGTCTGCAGGAGGTTTAACATTTGGTGTAAAAATGGAATTGTAGCAAAACTTTTTCATCCTTTAAATGTACAATTAGGTGGATAACATTTAAGGAATTCCCCCTACAGGCTCAACTTAAAAGCAAATGGCAATATGTTTTGAACAGCTGGATGCTACTTCACCTCACATCCCTATGTCTGCACTTAGAGTATGCATCTAAGACAACTTGGCTGTATACCTCTTCTATATTTTTTGCAATAGATTATGTGCTGGACTATGTTTTTCTGGGAGTCGAGCCTCCTAAACCAGCGTGGAGAAAAAACCCAGAGCAGTGGAATGGAGGACTAAACCTTGACAGAAATCACGAGCCACCAGAACCATCGTCTCAAAACTGTGGTTGTTTGTAAACCTTGTTTAAATCTCTTAACTGAACACAAAAGTGCAAATTGCTACCACTGTCCTGTCTCTGCGTCCTCAGTAGTGCTTCTCCTGCAGATAGTCTTTCATCTTGTTCGGTAAGGGCAGTTTCTGGATCAGGTCTATCCGCGTGTACTGTCTGATGACGAAGCGACAGAGGTACTGCAGGGAGCGCACTTGCATAAACCGAGACACTGGGTTGGTTAGTCTGACGGGGTATGTTGCAGATCCCGGTAAGCGAGACCTGGAGTAGCAGAAAGCTCCGGTCTCTGAGTCTCTGATGGAGTGTTCGATGAGGTCTACGATGGACGTGTGTCCCTCCACGTCCGGCTGCTCGTAGAAGCTGAAGCGTCCGTTGGAGTGTTCGATGCGCGTGTGCAGAGTCTTGCACTGCGACCTGAAGCTCAGACTGAGCAGGTACCGGTCGTCCGAGCTGTCTCTGACCAGGAAGGATCCGTCGGCCAGGTTCACCAGCTTCTCCTCCGCCTCCCAGCGAGTGATGGGACCCCAGTACCAGCCCTGCCTCGCCAGCTTCTTCAGCTCCTCCGTCAGACTGGTGACCACCATGGGCCCGCTGGTCTGCACCGACTCGTACACCCGACTCACCCCGGGGGCTGAGTTCGGGTCAAAGTTGAGGTGGTGTCTCATCCTCTCTGCCACATGTCTGTCTGTAGAGCTGAACCCAGAGAACGTCCGTGGAATAAGAACATTATTTAACATGGGCGGCAGGAGTGGAGAGAGGGGAGGGGGCACTTCTCCTCTTTGGAGCATCACACCGGCAGAACCGATGAGAAGACTATTAACTGAGGTTTCCATGAAGAGGTCTGGCGGAAGCCCACTCATCAGATCGTGCTCCTGGTGGTCCGCGTGGAGGGACGCACCGTCGGCTTCAGTCACCACCTCCATAGGAGAGGAGCTGTCCAGGCAGAAGGAGTGGGACCCCTCGGGGTACATTCCCTCATCTAAAGGCATCGTGTACTGGATGTAGTCCTGGGGAGTCAACCCCAGCACCACAGGCACGTCATTTTCATCAATATCCAGATGCAGATCCCCGTTTTGAGGCTGCTGGAGGTTCTTAAAGGACTCAGCTCTATCCGGAAAGAGCCCTTCCATTTGAAAGTCATGAAATTCTCTCCGGACACCGTTTAGGTTTGGACTCGGGCTCGGAGAGTGAACCATGGCTTTGACTTTTACCTCCATCTTGATGCACGCCTCCTCAGAGTTCACTGAGCGCAGGGGCCACGGCGAGGGGCTGTAATGGTGGCTCCGCAGAGACGCAGATCTCAGGGGTCTCTGGGCTTTCACATCGCTGAATCCAATGGGCGCAGACGAGGAAGAGAAGGTGTCGTCATCGTCGTCCACAGAGCCAATGGCGGAGGAGTTGCCTTTCACTTTGGCCTTCTGTTTCGCAGACAGCCTCCTCTTCAGAGATCCCATCAGGCCCTCGCTCTTCGTGCGGCCCTTATTCTGACCGCCTTTGTCCTCCTCGCCACCAAGGTCGCAGCCGGAGAGCTCTTTGGTGTAGCAGCCCCCAAAAAGTGACTCTTCCTTAGAAAACTCTGTAGTCACCGAGGGCTGCTGGAGCATGACGAAGTCGCCCTCCTCCTTGCCCTTTATACTGAGGGACTTGCGGATGGTCTTAAGGCTTATCTTCTTCATTCTGACAGGCCCTCCGCAGCGGGGGCATGGGTTGGCTCTCCTGGTATCCCGATGAAAGTACTATCCACAGCGTCCTCCCATCAGGCCGCACGGAACAAGTCATGCATACAGTGGAGCCATCACACCCTGCAGAAACAACACACACAAGATGTTATATAATGGTTTGTTCTAAAAACACTCTTCCAGATGGTTGTTCTTATGTTCTTAGTATCAATGTTTAACAGCATAAAGCACCATTTAGAAAGTAACAGACATCACAGCACATTTAAATAACAGTACAGAGGAAAACTAAGCACATTTTCTGTAGTCCAATATAATGTAATAGGCCACTTACATCAACAAAATGCAGCAAATGCACAACGTTGAGAAGCAGGAAGCTGAACATGTCTGGCATTTTTGATTGATTAATTAATTACATATTATTTGCATATGCACAAGCTATAATTCTAGCTCTTTACACCCAGGAAAGAATATATTTGCTGTTTACATGCATTTCATTCATTTGCAATTACTGTCCAAGCTGTATGTTATTATACTTTTAAATGATGTCGTATATTTAATTGAATAATCTATTTTTCATACATATTTAATAGCATTGTGGGAGAGTCTGATAATTATAGATTTCCATTACCTCTCTGTAATTGTTGTGTATATGATACATACATTAACTTGAACAATCAATACTACATTTGGACTGTAATATGGTCAAACAATACAACATTAGACTCCAAAACTGCATTATAATCATGATTTTAATGGAACGAATAACAATCACTACTCTGACATCTGTCAAAAAATACGAGAAGGCATAACACCTGACAAACTGGGATTGAAACAGCAGCCTATATCCTATATCTAGAGACATGTGCAGCTCCTAAATAAAGCTGATAATGAAGACAGCTGCAATCTGATTACTCACCATTATGAGCAGGAAAATGGTGACTCAGTTGAATGGGTCAAGTTCCACTTCCACCTCCTTTCATTTGATGCTGCGAAACACAAAAGCCAGTTATGAGCAAAGTCCAACATGTAGGAGTAACAATTGATTTTTAAAAAGGGGAGAAACACATGTCATGTAGATATATTTGACAAAACAATGAAGAAATACAATCAATTCTAGCCTGTTTTGTCCTGACCTGGCAAGGCCTACAAACACAACAGCATGCCTTTAGCTTAGCTTCTCAATTAGCCTCTTCAATGACACTATTATAAAACTGACAGCAACAACTACAATGTAATCGGTTCACCTTAAACATTAAGCTCATACTAAAAGAAAACAAGGTTAATGTTTGATCTAGCTTGCCAGTTTAACACACGTTTGCTTACTTGTATGCTAATAGCTAGTTTGTTAGCATGTCTACTTTCAAAGTAAATAAACATTTACACACATATATATCTACATGCATGTTATAATGTCTCTTACCCGGTGACTTCTGCTTGTATTACCAGATAAAAACACCCAGAGATGTTGGCATTTGTCCTGATAAACAACACGTTTATGAAGGGTCGCTCCTGCACGATAGCTTAGCTAGTTAGCTTAGCTAGTGTTAGCTTGCATTAGCAGTCGAAACATCACCTTTAGTCATCCCTCTGAGCACCAATACAAGTATAACGCGTTTATAATGCCAGGTTTGGTTCTTCTCTAAACATACAGCTCTATATTTCCCACCAAAGATACACAATAAGGGGATTTCTGAGTGTCCAGGTTAGCTAACAGTTTGTAGCTCTCGGCCTCTCTTCCTTTCTTCCTTTGTTGCCTGTTGAATTGTGGGAGCAGATTCAGATGCAGCGAATCAGACGCACAGCTCTCAACAGAGGACAGCCAAACACTGCACATCTTATTCAATACATGCACAAAAACAGTAGTAATACCATAATAATATAGATACAGAATGTAAACAAACATAACAGCATTCAAAATGATTCCACCTAATCTGCAAATTATTTGATATACAGAAACATAATTACCCAAATATATGTTTTATTGTTTGCACTGTAATGACAAAAACATGCTTATTAGGCTACTTATTAAATACCCTGACCATATCTGATAAACAGACCCGAACTGTGAAGTGTTTTTAGATGTCAAATAGGCTATTGTTGTTATTATTACTTGGAGATATATTGAATATATATGTTGTACTTTTATGGTTAGAAATAAGGATTTGGGTCATTCCAGAATTGGAGGACATTTCATGTCCCCCATATAAAAAATCTAATAATCCATGCCCAAAATGCTAAAACATGCACTTGTTGTGTTAAACATACTTGTCTTGAGACAAAATGTATATAAAGATGTAGAAAAATAGGTTTAAAAATATTATTTAAATGATCAAATAGCTCTCGAACATCCCCTAAAATGGCATTTTTCTCTTGTCCCCGATTGCATGCCAAATATAACATTTAAAATAGGGATTGTATTTACTTTTGTTGGTATTATTCTATTGATAAATGTCTCTTGTAATGGTAAAATGAATTTATTAAATCATAAACATATTTTAGATAACAGTAATGTTGCACAGAAGGTGTGTCCCTCAACATGCGTTCAACCCTGTTACCCAAACCTTTTTAGATTGGCGAAGTGAAAAAACTGTAAATCAGATGACACAGGAAGTGACATCAGCAAGCCATGTGCTAGTGCCATGGGTAGACCACAACTAAGTCCTCTTTTATTTTTCATATTTTTACAATCTTTTCAGTCTTAAAAGAGTGTGGCACTCTGACCACTCAGCTCTGTTACTCATATTATCAGAATAAAGCATATTCATTTCAAAGTTATCTTTCTTGCATTAGATATCCAAGTGTGTCCTTGCCTTGAAAGTAGCATTACATGCTACATCTATATTGAGGTTAAAACTCAAATTAGCATTGATTTTCAACCCTGTTACTATAATTAGAACAGGGGTAATTCTTCATTGGAAAATATACATTTGATGCCTAGCTGGGCAAATCACTTTTTTTGATGGTTTATTATCTGTTTTTCCTAAATACATAAAACATTTATTTTTAAATAAAAGGTTAATTTTTCAAAAATGTTGGTGTCTAAATTGTCCTCCAATTCTGGAATGACCCATTTATTGAATTGGGTTCAAGGAAAAGTTTTCAGATTAACTCATTTAAATGATATAAAAGAAAACATTTAGTGCCTTCGTATTTTATGGTTAACAAATAATATTTGAATTATCACTACTATATTCGTTGATATGTTACGTTCTAATTTACCTAATCTACCAAATACAATCTGCAAATAGAGTTTACTCATGTCTAATATATGTATTATGTTTGTGTTTCATAACTAAGACTATACAAGTATAAACAAAATGATGCTAGGACAAACAAGAGGGTCTCTATATACTATTTGTTGAGGTTTTTGACAACAAAAATAAATTAAGAACCTGCAAGAAGCACAACATTTAGTAGCAGTGAAGTGAATAACTGGCCACCACTGAATGCTATTAAGCAAAGCATTTCACTATAACTGCTCTTACAAGGCAGCACAGTGGCTAAGAATAGAAGGAAGAGGTTGTGCAATGCAGCGTCAAGCAAGATTTTGCAAAAACATGCATGTTCTGTTAACCTCTCCTGCAAAAAGACAGAAATACGTAATCAAAGGACACTATTGTCTTTCTTATGTCACTAAAGGAGATGCAGAGATGGAAATGTATGGAGAGAAAACACTGAACAAAACAAAACTTGAACAAGAAGTAGTTGTTGATGCAGAAAGATTGAGTTCTCTCACAGCAGCAGAGACACACGACTCCCACCACCTGAATTTATTTCATTCAGTCCCTAAATGAATTTGCATTTGTACAAATGACTTGAGGTTTTGAATGCAGGATCCACGTGTTTCCAGTCCCATAAGGAGCCTGCAGAATGGGTGGCATGCATAAAAACATTCTAAAAAGAATATAGTAATTCTAGTCTTTTATCTGAAGTGTCACGCATGGAATGTCTTTGCTAGAGAAATGTGAAACCATAGATATTTCCAATGTTCAAGTTCTTTATAGTAGTCAATCTTTGCATATAAGATACTTAAAGATAGCCTATATGTTAGAGCATTCATAAGATAATATAACGATAACTCCTGTGCAGATTTAAGCAAACCATTTCATCTTTGTTTGCTATAGAGCAATTATCATGATTTCCATTTCCCTCTGTGTGCTTGGCCTGCAGGAAGGTCTTGTTCATTTGTATTCCAACATCAAGTTTACTCTCCAACTATTTGATGCAGCAACTAAAAGTTGAACTCTGAAATGAAACATTGGTCGCCTAATTAGTGTCAGTATTGTTCTAAAGTAGATTGTGTTTACCAGTGCCAGGCTAATTTGGTCCATATACTGAACATTACATTGTTTTTCCACACTGTCAAGTGCATGGCAGTCCTTCCCCAGCCTGCTTAGGGCCGCTGTGTGCAGACAGGCTTTATGCAGAGACTCTAATTACCCGGCCCTATTAGGGCTGATCAGGCTGCCTTCCCTTGATGTGGGGGGGGGGGGGGGGGGGGGGGGGGGGGTGTCAGCTCTTACATTTAGCACCAAGGACACAGGGAAGCAAGGATGCAATGTTTCTACAAGCTAAATGAGATCGGACAAACAAAGTTTAGTCTGCTTGATATTTGTTGCCAGAGAGGGAAAACAATAAGTGTTCAGCTGTGGGCATTAAGTGTGTCATCACTGGATAAACAGATCAAACAACGGCAGGTTGCTTCACTTTCACACAGGTGCAGGACAACTACTCACATTATGTAGTACCACAGTGTAGAAATACTCTGCTACAGTAACATGCATGCTTTAAAATGTGCCTTAAGTCAAAGTATTGAAATAAAAATATACGTTAAGTACCAACAGTTCAAATACTACTTATGCAGAATACCATATTTCAATTACTTGAGTATAATATTCATGCATTAATGTGTTCATCGATTTAATGTTGCAGCTGTTAAAGGAAGAGCTTGCATTAACTACTTGATATACCATGCAGGGAAATCAATAATAATACAGTTAAGGTAAAAATGTAGTAAGGTAAAAATGACAATTAACAAAGTAAAAGATGATTTAAATTGATAGTATAAGTATTATTTATTTATTTTCAAATGTTCTTTAAATAATGCAATACTATCTTTACTTTAGTCAAAATAATTGGTAGTGAAAATCTGATGTTGTGACAGTCTTATTGTAAATAAATCCAATAAGTGTAAAGTACTAAATGTGAGTCTTAAATATGTTGGAGAATAGACGGCACAAAATGTCAACATTCATGTAAAGATCAAGTACTTCAAACTGTCTTTCAGTGCTTGAGTAAACGTAGTTATCTACAACCACCACAGATTTCACATGAATATAATCTAGCAGTGTGAGATGAATCGAGTGTCTGCATCACGCCCAAGATCAATATTGCCAAAAGTAATTTGAATTTATGCATAAGCACGAGTCCAAACACTGAAAACAAGATGCAACATTCAGTAGGCCCCCATACCTCCACAAGTGGTGAAACGCCTCTATCTGAGTTTCAAATGAATGCTGTATCAGCCATGATTTATTTGTACAAGATGTCTGTGCCGGCTGCAGTTTGACTCACTTGATTCCTCTTTCTTTGGGGGGGGGGGGGTTATTCAGGGGCCCCTGGGTGCCCACGCTCATATCCTCAACATTTGCAGTGGAGCGGAAGAAGGGTAGCAAACATGTCAAACTGTGACAGGACCTGTGGGAGCAATGGGTTTTGTTTCAAGGATAACTGCAGAAACACAGGACGGGTGGGATTTAAAACACAGCATTTACAAAGCTGGGAAGTAGTGGAGTACAAATACTTCGTTACTGTACTTAAGTGCATGTTTCTGGTATCAGTACTTTACTCCGCTACTTGTTTTTCTGACGACTTTTGACTTTGACTTCTTACATTTTGAACACAAATACCTGTACTTTCTACTTCTTACATGTTGAACTCAAATACCAGTACTTTCTACTTCTTACATGTTGAACACAAATACCTGTACTTTCTACTTCTTACATGTTGAACTCAAATACCTGTACTTTCTACTTCTTACACTTTGAATTCAAATACCTGTACTTTCTACTTCTCACATGTTGAACCCAAATACCTGTACTTTCTACTTCTTACATGTTGAACTCAAATACCTGTACTTTCTACTTCTTACATGTTGAACTCAAATACCTGTACTTTCTACTTCTTACACTTTGAATTCAAATACCTGTACTTTCTACTTCTTACATGTTGAACTCAAATACCTGTACTTTCTACTTCTTACACTTTGAATTCAAATACCTGTACTTTCTACTTCTTACATGTTGAACTCAAATACCTGTACTTTCTACTTCTTACACTTTGAACTCAAATACCTGTACTTTCTACTTCTTACATGTTGAACTCAAATACCTGTACTTTCTACTTCTTACATGTTGAACTCAAATACCTGTACTTTCTACTTCTTACATGTTGAACTCAAATACCTGTACTTTCTACTTCTTACATGTTGAACCCAAATACCTGTACTTTCTACTTCTTACATGTTGAACCCAAATACCTGTACTTTCTACTTCTTACATGTTGAACTCAAATACCTGTACTTTCTACTTCTTACATGTTGAACTCAAATACCTGTACTTTCTACTTCTTACATGTTGAACTCAAATACCTGTACTTTCTACTTCTTACATGTTGAACTCAAATACCTGTACTTTCTACTTCTTACATGTTGAACTCAAATACCTGTACTTTCTACTTCTTACATGTTGAACTCAAATACCTGTACTTTCTACTTCTTAC